GTCCGCATATTTATCATGCTTTTCCTTAATGTTGCCAATCACATTGGTGTCAAAAGGGACAGAAAATTCAATGATATAAATAAATTCATTGGCTTTATCAAAAAGGACAAGATCAGGTTTGTTGGCTGGAATTCTTCTGAGGCTGTATATGGGCCTATTCCACAGATATTATTATTATTATTATTATTATCATTACTGCAGTTACAGCATGGCATGGCAGCTTATTGGGTGAGGAAACACGACGAAGTGAGACCCACGTACCCGGATCTGGTGCTGACATACCTAGATGCATCGTCGATCTTATCCGAGAATCAAACCACCCTGCTCGAGACATCTTTGTCCCATGTGATATTGAAATGATATGTCCAAGGCATAACAATTCAACATGACAACCATTATCAAAGGAGGTATAATCTTTGGTCAGTAAGGTTCACAATAAGTCTGTGTGTTATTTAACACCATAATCAGCAATATTCCAGCTGTATGGCAGTCTGGACCAGACAATCCAGTGATTGATATCATGAGCACCCAACTACACAATTGGGACACGATGACATGCATTAACCAAGTCAGGGAGTCTGACCATCCGAACCCGATGGTCTTCTTCTGACGACAAGCGTGGATTCCTGAAGACAAACTCGAACTCATATATCTTCACGGGTTAACACACTCACGAAGTATTTGTTTGTTGAAGGAATTGAGAAAGGGTTGGACGTTTCTAGTTTCACAAACGAAACTGAAAACAATGATGCCGACACATTAAAAAAATAACTTGTAAGGATTCAGACGCATGCTTACAAAAGCATCGCTGATGGGACAAAGAGCGAGCAGATAACTGGAAGCGCCGTTTATAACTTTAGCGAAACCCCAGAGCAAGAATGTGATGTTCACAAAGGACCAACATGCTCTTGCCAACCGCAGACGTATTTTACCACATGGGGCATGGCCAGTACCACTATGTTACAAGCGTTTACACTACATCGAACATGCCTTCAGTAATCAGGGGTAATGGTGCTGGCTTTGACTTATATTTGACACTAATGCCTAACGAGTCGTGAGTTTTGTTTCTTAATTGCGCTTTCCTCTTCCATTATGCTAATAAGGCGTGATTGCAAAGTGATTGAAACAAGAACACACGTACGCGCAAGGTTGTAGTGAGAGTGTGAGTATGTGAGCTTAGTTTTAAGCCGTTTTTAGCAGTATTCCAACAATATCATGGCGGGGGACACCACAAATGGGCTTCACACACTGTACCCATGTGGGGAATTGAACCCGGGCCTTCGGCGTGACGAGCGAACGCCTTGACCACTTGGCTACCCCAAGATTGTAAAAATAGTATCATACAAAATACGAGTTTGAGGGGAATAAGACCCGCTACTCCTCGATCATTAGTAGAGTCATAACTCTCCTGGCCGAGATGCATAATATTCACACCACATGCACATTCAGACGTACACACCGACACACGGTGTTCAGGAACAGTGCAACGTACTAGCATTCTAATGCAGTGTACTCTGTACTATGTAAGATTGCAGAATTCAGGAAAGAGGTCAACAAACTGTCTGGATTTAAAGACACCATATACAGCACTCAGACGCATGTAAACCATACACGGACACATTGTGGTCAACATTGGCGTTATCGGAGCACCATCATGCTAGTGAAAGTAGCTTAAACCTGTTAATTTAGACCTCAGAGGGAAGGGGAGTTATAACTGTATATAGCGATATGACGCGCATACACATAGCATCATGCACAAACACGCGCTCATATACATATGGTCACGTACAGTACGTTGAGTGTGGGCCCAATATATCATATGATGCTAAACCAGGATAGTATCTGTGGCCCACAAATTCAGAGATAACCCCAACTATGTACAACCAGAGACCATATAATATGGTCTCTGGTACAACACGATGCTGAGATACTTCTTACGATTAACACATCATCAATTCACCGGCGTTAGTTATGTATTTACATATGAAGGCCATACGCTTGTTGCCCCAGCTCAGTAAATGCATACCAGCCATTCATCAATATGTATTACCATTGCTCGAATATCCTTAACATCCACTGCTCATTCCTTTCCCATTGTCTTTCAGCACCATAGTTACTCATTCACGATGGTTCCACCAACTTGGAAATTCCACCTGACACATCGCGGGCCTTCCCTCTACATTAAGCCATCATCGTATATGCCTCTTGTATGAACAGTCAGTGTTAAAACCCACATCAATCATTTGATTACAACCTCTGACAGGCTAATAAAACATCGACATTAGTACACGTCTTACTGTTACCACTGCAAAGCCAGACGCTACAGAATGCTTATTTACTTAATGGGTGCAACTCATTCATAAACCCTGTACACGTGCTGTCTGGAACCATGTGACATGTGTATCCACTTCCATCCAACGGGCGAAGTTTTATGTCTCCCATTAGCCAAATAGGACAACACTGACAGACCATATTTTATACCTCACTATTTCCGTTTGGCTGAGGAACAATAACAATAAAAACTTGCCATCTGTAAAAAGGTAATTAGGTAATCGCTTCCACACAATCTATTCCTATTTATTATGGTTATAAACAAATAACATGGTGAAGCTTATCTTAAAAACCTCCCCTTTTTTATTATCACTTAAGATACCTCCAGGATGTTCTGTGGAACGGTAAGGCCAGTCCCGTTGCCAAGAGCAAAATCTGTTTCGATAATTGCTCCACAAGTGTTTCTTAACGAAATCACATCATAAATATGATACACGTCATGTACTTTCATGTTTGCAACTTCTGCAACAACTTTGGAATGTGATGAGCCAGATGATGGAGAGTAAACAGTGACGTTTGAAACGTTTTCAACCTAAACCCTAGATTACAAAACATATGAACTTAGGACTTGTCTGTATGTATTAATACACTTCCTCAGAGATTGAGGGCATCTGGAGGAAGCGTTCAAAAGAGGACATGATCCCGAATGAAGCGTTGTATGAAAATCTCTTCCAATATGAATCTTAAATAACATGGTGACAGGGGAAAACGGTGACTCTAACGCCTTTTTGAATGTTCATTCTTTTGTTCGTTTAATCTATCAAGGTACAAGTACTGGCTTGGTTGTTAGTTGTTGCAACAATAAATAAACGATAGTGTTGTAGTCTAGTTGGTAACGTTTACGTTCACCACACAAAAGAGATTTCAATTCCAAATATGAATAAAACATATAGGCTAGTGATATGAGCCCTCCGTGTTGGCATCTCAATGCTCAAATCGACACGAACGGAAAACACCAACACCGGAGACAGACAACACTTGATTTGCCCCTGAAACAGATTCGCTCGACCGTAAAAGCGAAATAACCATTTTCAAGACCATAAAAGACATAAAACCGTTTCCATAAACATAAGAATTATGAGAATTCATTGTAGGATTCCGACTGTATCCGACGTGTGGATATGTTCTGCTACAAATAGTGATGATGTCAAATGTTCACGGAAAGGAAAGGGTTCACCTTTCCCTGTAGCTTCGTCAGTACCGAAACACTTGAATCGACCGCCAGTGCACAACGTCTCATATCACCTAATTTGGAACAATTGTGATGTATGGAATCTCTGATATTGAGACATTTCACGGCTGCTGGTTTTGATACATGCCAATTGTTTCAAACTTATGAATACTGTATAAACTTACAGCCTTGGTTTTCAACTTCCCCTGATAAATCCTCTAATCGATATCGTTTCAATTTCTAAAATTTTGCATGTATACCATGAAATGTAGATTTGGATTGTTGTTATGACAAAACATGTAAAGCAGCATTTAACAGAGGATTATGATTTATGTTCCGAGTGACACCTTATCATCAAAACATTATAATATATTTAATAAACGTTTAAAAAAAAGTCTAATATATAATATGTAATACCATATGATATATTACACTATAAAAATATTTAATAATATCTAAACCAAATATTGACTCAAATGTTTGTTTTGTGAAAACAGGCATTGACATCTGTGAATTGTATTCAGAATTATATAAAGAGGGCTACCGTTTTATGCCATAACTATTATCTGATCATACTGTCATATTACGCTCACAAACATATCAGTAATATTAAGCAATATGATACGTTCTTCCGTCGCCAAAACTCGAATGTTTAAACTGAAAAAAACCCACGTGAAGTTTTATATTAAACTCATAACCGATAACACATTTATTTGCAACACACGTGGAATGTAATTAAGTCAGACACACGATTCCAAAACATTCTGCCAGATATGAGTTAATAACTAATATTATTTCTTCATAAAGACACGTAAATATATTTAAACGAAAACACATGGATCAAGAACGAAGACGGTTTTGCCAAACATCACTGTGATAGCAAATATGATGTCCAATATAAACAACACCCAAACACTACTGTTAACACGAAGTACAGATCATTAAAAATGAAGTTCATTATTTTTCAGAAGAAACGGAGACAACGTTTCTGAACCTGATTTATGATGAAGGATTGACTGACTGAGTTTGGTTTTACGCCGCTTTTAGCACTATTCCAGTAGCATCAACCGGGGGACACCAGAAATGGGCTTCACACAATGTACCAATGTGGGGATTCGAACCCGGTCTTCGGCGTGATGAGCCAACGCTTTAACCTCTAGGCTACCCTACCGCCCCGATTTATGATGAAGGATTGAATGTGACATTACACTGATAATAGTCATCATCCAAGCAGAGTTGCCGTGGCATTGAAAGGATAAATAGATAGCGAATATTCTGTTTCAAATCTAAGCAGGGCAAATATCAAGACAAATTTGCTTAATGACGTTCCTTGTATAACCCTTCCGTCCTAACCTATCCAGAGATACCCAAGATCATCCCCTGCAGACGTTAGTTTTGTAAGGATGTACACAGTGAAAATATCATTAAAACCTAAAAAGTCAGTTTTACATTTCACATATAATTGTTTGCCTCTGAAAATCTGAATAAAAGTTGATACCTTTAACATACCTACCGTGCGTTGATCACATGAGCAGATTCTGCAGACAAGCGTGCCTTTTGAAGTCTAATTCAACACTGACACCTTTGTAGGAAAATCAAGGTAAATATGCTTTACCCTGTACTAGTGATAAACCCTCTCAACCGGTCTGGGGAACGACGCCGGAGATAAACCAGAGCTTCCACACTGCTAAAGTTATCTGTCCTCAGGGAGCAAGCATTTCATTCTATCCACACTGATTATCAACTGCACATCACAACTCACTGCAGCATATGGTAATTACCTATTTGCCGCCGTTGTCAGTCTTGTTAAGCCTGGTCACGGGTCAGCGTTCAATGCTTAACGATCGAAGAGACAGAATTACCGTCGAGCGCTTTCCAAATAGGGGCGCCACTTTAAGAGCACCGATGTACGTGCTCTTCTCCTGACAGCCTAGCAGCCTGTGTGAAACACGTCTGACTTCGGGGACGAGGAGGATGGTACTGCTGGACTCCGATCGATCTCCAGCATCAGTGATTCTCTCAGCCACTGGTGTCGTACCTGCCTCGTTCCTGGATCTTCCCTTCCTACACACTTGCTGCTTGGTTTATACTCGAAGCTGTCGGTATTTGACCATCATGGTGTCTAGATGTACACTCTTGCCAGCCATGGATAACACTTGCTGTCTTTTCAATATGATGATCGTAGATTTACCTGATATGTGCTTGAAGGTGTCTGTATTTAACTACGGCATTTGCCAAGGTGTATACATGTACACGTGCAAGCTGGGCATAACACTGGCTGTCTTTCCTGTATCATGATCGTAGATATAGCTGGTATATACTTGAAGGTGTCTGTGTTGAACTATCCCATTTACCTTGGAGTTTAATGTACTTAGTGCAGGCTAAGGATAACAGTTGATGTACCTAATATATACTTGAAAGTGTCAGTATTCAACTACTGAATTTATTTTTGAGGTTAATGTACTCGTGCAGGCTGGGGGTAGCTGATGCCGTCTTTCCAGTATCATGATCGTAGATTTACCTGATATATACTTGAAAGTATCAGTATTCAACTACTGAATTTATTTTGGAGTTTGATGTACTGGTGCAAGCTAAGGGTAACAGATGCCGTCTTTCCAGTATCATGATCGTAGATTTACCTGATATATACTTCAAAGTGTCAGTATTCAACTATTGAATTTATTTTGGAGTTTAATGTACTCGTGCAGGCTAAGGATAACAGTTGCCGTCTTTCCAGTATTATGATCGTAGATTTACCTGATATTTACTTGAAGGTGTCTGTGTTTAACTATTGAAATTTTTCTTGGAGTTTGATGTACTCGTGCAGGCTGGGGGTAACACTTGCAGCTTTCAAGTGTTATGATCGTAAAGTTACCTGATATATACTTGAAGGTGTGTGTATTCAACTATTGAATTTGTCCTGGAGTATAGAGTGCAATCTAAGGACAATCATGAATGATCATCCACACGCTTAAGCTGAAGCCTAACCGTGATTATCCTTCACTATCCTGTTTTTAGTGAACAGAATGTATTAAACATGGTTGTTTTTCTTGATTAAATATGAACCAACTGAATCAACCACTACTATTTCTAAACGATAATGCCAATGCAATCAATGAATAAATGAAGAGCATCATTCGCCTACATAGATCTGGTTTCTATATCCCGCTTGGTGCCGTTCTTTCGTGTATGCGCTGTTATATCCATGTCCATGAAACTATTCAGTGATGTACTCGAAACTATGGATACTCTTTCGTCAACCGATATGAAGATCCGGGTTAGAATTGATCTTCAACAACCCATGCTTGTCTCCACCCGTGAAGATCCGGGTTAGAAGTGGTCTTCAGTAACCCATGCTTGTCGTAAGAGGCGACTAACGGAATCGAGTGGTCAGGATCCCGACGTGGTTGACACATGTCATCGTAACACAATTGCGTAGATCGATGTCCATGCTGTTGATCATTGGATTGTCTGGTCCAGACTCGATTTATTGTATATACAGTATCTACAGACTGCCACTATGTAGCTGGAATACTTGTGTGCTCGGCGTTAAACAACAACCAACCAACCAAAATCTTATGAAATCAGTGCTGATCCTGTGGAGATTCAATTGTCCAGTTCCGACTATATCATGAATATGTGGTTATGAATCGCTATCCAATAAAGATGATGCCATCTGTTTTCAAAAACGGTGATTGTATCCTGCTTTACCGATGGCACTCGTCATGAACAAAACTAGTCAACTGGTCTTATAAAAAAACTGCAACGTATGACACTAAATCCTCGATAATCTCCAGGGTATACGTTACGATCACTTTCCACTATACCCTGGATGCATACCTCCCTTTGCTGGCTCCGCATTCTCACAGCAGCCAGTCAGGTAAGCCGCCATTACATCCGAGCTTGCCAGTGTCAACAAAGATAGCGGTAGCAGTCGCGAAGGTTTGTTCGTAGTACCACTCAGATGTTTGGGGAAATAATACAGAAAAATTGACAGATCTGAAACTTTCAAAAAATATATAAAAGAAATCCTTCTACACCTTTCAGAGTACCTCTGCATCAATTGTGTTGCCATGTTTGAACGGTTAGATAATTTAAGAAGCGAAAGTGAGTTGTGATTGGTTCGCTCCACTTCCCAGCGTAGACACCTGACTGGATAAAAAGCGAGTCAAGGGAGGTAATAAACTCATCGGGCCAAGCCGTGGATGCATCCAGGGCATAGTGGAGAGTGATCGTAACGTATACCCTGGAGATTATCGAGGATGATGACACTAGTCAACATTGGGAACTGTGACAGCAGATTCACCACTGATGCGTCAAATTTGTAATTGTCCTCCACCTGTCTGCCATAAAAGATTCTGAGAGCCTTACTGAGACTTCAATGTTATACGTCACAGATCATAACAATCAAACAACTTGTCATAAGAAATCTCCAGTCAAACACATTTCAATGTACGAATCTAGGTATAACACCAGGAAGTGATTAAAATTCACTGTCATCAGGAAGTGATTATTGGTGTTTGTTAAAGCATAACATTGTTTTCAATATTAAATCGATGTCAATTATTCTGTCAAACAAAAACACCACAAAAATTAAAGAATAACAACAACACGAGAACATATGGTACTAGTCAAAATATTAAATTGAATAAAAGACATTTTTTTCACCGGATTATGGAAATGCTGTTCAAATGTCTATCTTTTTAAAAACTTCACTAATACCTTAAACGTTGTCACCTTTATTAAAACTTCAAGAAGAGATTAGATGTACGACGATAATCAAAATCTTCGAAGAAAGAGACCTGTGAAGATCCGGGTTTGAATTGGTAATTGGAATTGCCCCGTAAGAGACGACGAACGGGATCGGGTGGTCAGGCTCGCTGACCTTGTTGACACATGTCATCGTATCCCAATTGTGTAGATCGATGCTCATAATGTTGATCACTGGATTGTCTGGTCCAGACTAGATTATTTACAGACAGCCTCCATATAGCTGGAATATTGCTGGGTGCGGCGTTAACAACAAACAAACCAAGTCGAAGAAAGAGTTTGCTGACTGACAGATCTTGCCATTAGGCGATCTGTTCATATCCCTTGTACATTGAGCCCGCCGTTGATTCTTTCAGATCTATCAAGGAAGCTTTTACATTTCAGAGCTGCATTTGTAAAGCTGCATACCATTCAAGTCTCTACTCCTTCTGTCTTAGTGATTGCCTACGATTGCTCGTCTAGCGATAAATAACCTCCTGTGCTATAAATAATATACTCCTGTGGATATGGTTACGGTTTACGTGGGATATAGATTACATTGCTGGACGTCGAGCTGCTGATTACCAAAACTGGGATGACGCCACACTTCGGGGCAATGGTGACTTCACACAGGCTACCACATGCTAATTTGCGTCTCACGTGCCGGTCATTTTTGGTGTATAAACAAACTAGATTAATCTAAGAACAAACATATCCTTTCGTTACACGCTATACATTATTTTGTGTAATACTAGTAAAATAGATGTTCAAGAGAGACAGTAGGACGTACCCGTTAGATTTTCATATCAAAGTGACAGTATCGCATGCTCTCCTTTGGGGCTTCGATGACAGCACGTGGTGCCGTACAAACAGCGAAAACAAAGCAACGAAACGCAAATAGAAATAGTGTTTCACGTTTCAGGATATTTTCTAGCTGAAAGTTAACCATTCAATCATCTGTGCTTATCTGGAAAGAAGCACCCGCAGTATCTTGAACAAACTGTGTGAGATCTGACGAATCGTCACATGGTGGCTTCCTGTGGCAGAGATACTATGCTTGCCACATGGCACGCTGCTTGAGTCAGTGGGATAACACGGGACCCGGATGATCGTCTTGACTTCGTACACTACTGAAAACAAGTTCAATACATGCCGGCTTAACAACCGTGATATGGAAAATCCAGTGTTCTTCAATTTCTTTGGAGTAGTATATACATGAACCCTTATCTCTCGGGAATCCTATTTTTATTTTAGATGTCTCTGAGAACGCAGATGTGAAGATATGGATTTTGTTGTGAACTATCAGATACCCCATTCCCCGCTTCCCTTCCGACCAGCTAGCATTCCTGGTTAGAATAGGTTCTTGTACGAGTCAACAATCCGATCGGGAGAGCAAGCCCCAAGTCATCTCTATGTTTAAGTTCCTCCCAATATGATAATATGACAATATGAATCAATTGGTATTCAGGTCATTAGTAACAGGACACCTAATGCAGGTGTAACATACTACAACTTTTCTAATTGCGCCCATAAACAAACATCAAATTCACCTCTCTGCAACGATTAAGTCGTTAAAATTGGGAATTCAATACTGATGACGACTTACGTGAGAACCATAGTGTATGGATTAGCCTGCACGAAATATTTGCAAGTGTCCCTCGGGCAGACTTTAGTGTCTGTGAAGCTTCAGATTCGCATTTGAACTCATTGACTTTAACGTGTGGCTAACTAGCGAAACTAATTCAATTCATTAATTCATATGCACCCAATAACACTGACGGTGGGCACAAAGAGGTCCATATACATATGTCAATAGGTTTAACAGCTGTCTCTCTTTTAGTAATAAATGAGAAATTAAGCAAGCACCTGCTCTGGGTGTCATTGACATTTCATATGAGTTTAACGAACGACCTGAAATTGTACTGAAGGTATTGTAAATTGGTTCAACAATTCAGCATTCCATTTTCAAAGCCTTAATTTCCAGACGCACTTTCTAATTAGTATCTTTCGTGGCTTACGAGAAATTCCCTAGATAATCAGGAAACACGTGTCAAAGAATTGTTTATCTCTTTTAATGCTTTAGGAACATTGACAGTAGTTTGTGCCATTCTCCCTTGGGACATATGACGGATATTTCGGTCTGCAAGTAAAGTTAACATGGTTAGCGCAGCGTGTTCCCTCGAAAGATTTTCAATAAATGTTAATCAAA